GCATACCCTTTTATGTAATGATGTTTACTTTGAATTTATTATAGTACACACAAACACTCCATCCATGCTTTTGTTCCGGCCCTCTGGTCCAGTTTAAGAACCCATTGTGGCCCTCGAGTCAAAAAGTTTTCCCACCCCTGTTTTAGAGCCTCCTCCTACTCCCTCCCACAAAAAACTTTCCCTTATGTCTAAGGATGAAAATTGTAGCATGTGCCCATTCCTAAACCAGTCATCACTGGGAAGGGGAATGAGTTTGTCTTGATTACCTTAGACTGATCATGATCACCCTCTGGTGCTGGCTCCTACCTCCCATGTAGCAACAGATGCTCAGAAAAGGACAAAGTACGGACTCTGTTAGGGAGGGAAAAGATTGTGATAGCATGATGTTCTTCAGTTAATGATCCTGGTTTGTTATTTGTTAGGTCAAGGAGGTAAAGAGGTGATAAATAACAGATTCAGCATAAATGGTGGTTTGCTTTTGCTGGATCAAAATTTCAATCAAGCATCGTACAAAATAATGAGAGAACAAATAGAGTGGGAAGAGTGGGAAGCTTTCCTTTTGCTAGTTTTAACATTTGTCTTTGTCTAAATAGGTATGCAGTGGAACTGATGAAGACACTGATGATAAAAATGCACCATTTCGACAACGGCCATTTTGCAAATATAAAGGACATACTGCTGATCTCCTTGATCTTTCATGGTCTAAAGTAGGAAATTTTTATTTGGATTGTATGTTAAGTCTGTGTAACTATGACTATAGGATAAAAACAAATGCTTTATTTCTATGATTGTCACACTGTCATGTATTTAAATGTTCATATATATTTTGTGGGCTCTATGTACAAACTAATTAAAGTTAAAAAAGATGTCACATTAGGCTCATAAGAAAATGTTTATATTACTTGACAACTTCTATTTGGATCTGTTTATATACTGTGTCTTTTTCCTCTTATAATTTTGCAAAGTATCCTCAGCAAAATGGATATGACTTCAATTATAAAGGTGAAGTCTGATCTATCTAATCAAGCCTGCTTTGGGGCTAATATACTACATTTGTGAAATTATTAATTTAGGCTTAACAATTATATTCTGTGAATCAATGATACATCTTAATTATGTGATTTTCCCCCTTAGAACAAAATTATTCCAGAAGTAGAAGTTCTGTTTTGCCACTTATCAAATATTTTTGCAGTTTTGTGAAAATTTAAAGAGAGATTTTAAATTTGATTTAGGTTCTTTGAAGCAGGAAACAGGCTTTGAATTTTGCATGGTACCTTTGATTTAATCTGTATTGAATTTGTCAGTAATCAGAATCGAAAATACATTAAGAATTCAGGGGGAATAATATTTAAAAGCCTTAAATTAAGAAAAGTCAACTGAGTTAACAAAATGCTACGAGGGATACCATTGATGCCTATATATTTTAAATATGTCAAGAGAACCTCATGTCCCACAAAGATATTGGTAATATGTATTGGCTAGTCAGGTTTTCTCTGAGCTCCAGCTTCGAAACATACCATTTATGAATTGCTGTCCCTGTCATACTTGTTTAGATGTCTGGATGCTTTTCATAACCCATCAGTTGTAATCTCTTTCTCTAACCTCCTGGAACAAGCTTGAGCCTCACCTTGTCGTCTGGTTTTAAACTGGGCCCTAATTTTGTCTTTGTACTCCTTTCCTACCCTGTGTGAAATCTGACCGAGTTGTCAGAAGATGGAAATTTAAAATGTTCTTATTCTGATAATCATATTCATCTGGAGCAAAAAATACAAAGCACATAACTGAGAATCTTGCACTCATTTTACTTCGTTAAAGCAAACAAATATTTTCTTTTCTGAAATGTCACACTAACTGGAAGATATTAGTTCTTCACTGACCACTGTATCAGTCAGGGTTCCCCAGAGTAATACAACCAAGAGCACGTGCATACATAAGGAGGTTTATTTTAAGGAACTGGCTCACACAATTGTGGGGGGAGGCAAGTAAACTTTCTTTTTTACTTAACCAGATTCTAAGCCCTTCAAGAGTAGGAACCAGATCTTATCTTACTATTCTTTTTCTTCAGTATCTAGCATAATTGGTGTTTACAGTGAGTTTTCTTTTTTGTGAAGACTTATTTTGTACTAGGTAACAAGAATTACCTTATTAGTTCTTATAATGTAACTGTGAGGTAGACAATAGTTCATTTTGTAGATTAGAAGAATGGGCCTCTGGCCTATCCAAGATTACAAAATTAGTTGTGGTTAGAACTTAGATTTGAATCTTATTTCTTTTACTCCCAAGACTATACTTAGTTTAATAAAATTATTTAACTTTACTTATTCAGTAAGTATTTATTGAACAGAAATCTCTTGGCATATTAGAGCTAATCTTAACATGTCTTCAGCATCTTCACTTCTAGGGTTATCTTCATGTTTTCATATACTTCAAGCAATGGACTATTGCAAGCATTGACTAAAGTTAGTTCTTTTTTTTTAAGGGTCAATCTTTTTAAAAAAAATATATTTTTATTGATTTCAGCAAGGAAGGAAGAGGGAGAGAGAGAAACATCAATGATGAGAGAGAATCATTGATCAGCTGCCTCCTGCACACCCCCTGCTGGGGATCAAGCTCGAAACCCAATCATATGCCCTTGACTAGAATCGAACCCGGGACTCTTCAGTCCCCAGGCTGATGCTCTAACCACTAAGCAAAACCAGCTAGGGCGAATAAAGTTAGTTTTAGTGAACAACAGACCATAGTTTTTTTTGTTGTTTTGTTTTGTTTTTGCTTTTATTGTTTTGTTGTTGTTGATCCTCGCCCTGGGATATTTTTCCCATTGATTTTTAGAGAGAGTAGAAGGGAGGAGAGAGACAGAGAGAAACATCAATGTGAGAAAGAGACATCAATTGCAGGCCGGGGATCAAGCCTGCAACCTAGGTGTGTGCCCTTGACCAGAATCGAACCCAAGATCCTTCAGTCCTCGGGCTGACACTAACCACTGAGAAAACCAGCTAGGGCTAATAAGTTCAGTTTTTATATAGTTGTTATTAACAGGAAATATAATTTAAACTGCACATACTCTTCAAAACTTTCCTGGAACTAAGTAGATATTGAAAATAAAAATAATTGTTATTAGATTTTTTAAGACTTTTTAAGTTGATTTGAGAGAGAGAGAGAGAGAGAGAGAGAGAGAGAGAGAGAGAGAGAAAGAGAGAAAGAAATGGATGTGAAAACAAAACATCAATCCATTGCCCTCCACCAGGGATGGAGCCCACAACCCAGGCAGGTGCCCTGACTAGGAATGGTACCAGCAACCTTTCAGTGCATGGGACAATGCCCAGCCAACTGAACCACACCAGCTGGGACTGTTATTATATGTTTTAAAATTATTATAAATCTTTCAAAATTCTGTGTTTTTTTCCTATTGTTTTCTGGGTTTTTTTATATATTTTTAAAGGTGTGTTTTTTTCTTTTGCAAAATTCTGTTTTTTAATGTCAATATACACCATCTATATGAAACTAGGTAAACCACATAAAATGTATACCTTATAAACTAGCCCAAATAGCATATATGTATCAATACATTTACATATCCAAATCAATATTTATGCTTAGTCTTTCTACATTTAAAGATGTAAGATTATTTCATTGCTTTAAATAAGTGACAGAGCATCTGGTTGTTTTCCATAACATGTGTTCTACTCAAGCACTCTACAGAATAGTGTAGTGGTCAGAGCCTGTACCTAGAGCCAGACTACCCACTCTGCCTCTGACATGTTGTGTATACAAATTATTTAACCTCTTTGCCTCAGTGTTCTCATTTGTAAAAGAGAATAATAATATAACTACTTCGTAGGGTTGCATTATAGTGCTAAGAACAATGTTTAGCACATTGTAAGTACTCATTAACTGTCATCATTACTTTAATTTGTTTAGCACATTTATGCATATCAAAGAATATTAGGATCTCAATGGGGTTTTCACATTCAGTGTGACTTGTTGATCTCCTCTTAAATAGATTGTGTTTAGAAATTAAAGAGCTCTGATAACTGGAAGCCTTTGACAGATAGATGTTTGGTTCCTGGATGATGGGCCTTCACAATGCCTAAATCAGTTATGTTAGCCTCTTCTACCTTTGAAAATTCTGTGATCTATTCTGAAACATTTGACAATTTCTGTTTTCTAATTTTCTTGCCTACAGTGTGACAGGTACACAATAACTTTTCATTTCATGCTGCATTATAGGGTAATATTTTTAAGGCATTTTAAATGACAGAGAATCCATGTGAGTTAAAATTCATCTGTATTGTCAATGTGAAAGTAACTGAACTGAAGTGACAATTAAATGAATAAATGCCTTATATTCATAGCTAAGTTCCAATATAATTCCAGAATACGTAATGTGAAAAAGTCTTAGAATCTAAGAAATATGATATTTACCTATTTCCAAAACATGGGGTCTTCCAAATGAATTAGATAATCTTTTGTTATTTCTCATGCTGTGTATAACAATACAAATAAAACTATTGTGGTACATAAAAACTAAAAGTTCATTTTTATTGTATATGTAGTTTTTCTCATATGGTGAAAAATAATCAATGGCAATTTTTCCGTAGAACTACTTTCTGCTCTCTTCTTCGATGGATAAAACAGTCAGGTTATGGCACATTTCCAGAAGAGAATGCCTTTGCTGTTTTCAGCATATAGATTTTGTTACTGCCATAGCTTTTCATCCAAGAGTAAGTAATTGTTTATACATGTTTTGTTATACTATAAGGAAGGTGAGGGAACCAGGCTTCTCTGGAGGGTAATTAGTGTATTAGTCAATCTGCTTGACTGACCAATCAAATAATGTATTAGCCAGTCTTGTGGGGTTGTAGTAGTAGTTTAATTGGCATCATTTTCAATGTAAAAAAATCCTTTACTATCTTTTCCTCTGGAAAGAAAGTAATTCATATGATTTCAACTAAAGGAGAAAAGTCTACTAACATGGAATTGCAGATTACCCATGTAGGATAGAGCCATCACATACATAAAACTAAATTAGTTTTAGTTCTTTGTATTCTATAAGCATAAGGAAGTCACATGTTGATTCTGCTTCACTAGCTAGGTGAAAAAGATGGAGTCCTTAAGCTGAACCTAGTTGATGTATGATTACTTTCCCTCTCCTTTGTTGATGTATGATTAAATTTCCAGTCATGTCCTTATCTCTATACTAGAGGCCCGGGGCATGAATTTGTGCACCAGTGGGGTCCCTCAGCCTGGCCTGTGGGATCGGGCTGAAACCAGCTCTGTGACATCCCCCAAGGGGTCCCAGATTGTGAGAGGGCGCAGGCGAGGCTGAGGGACCCCACCAGTGCACGATCGGGGCTGGGGAGGGACAGGAAGTTAGCCAGCCGGGGAGGGACCACGGGAGTGCTCCAGGGCTTGTCCAGCCAGTCTCACTCAGTCCTGATCGTCGGGACCCCAGCAGCAAGCTAACCTACCAGTCGGAGCATCTGCCCCCTAGTGGTCAGTGCATGTCATAGCAAGTAGTTGAGTGGCCTTAGCATATCATTAGCATATTACGCTTTGGTTGAACAGACAACTGGACATTTAGCATATTAGGCTTTTATTATATAGGATGTTAAGCATCCTTTGTCGTTTTTTACTGTATTTTTGTTGACACTATTACAGATGTCCCTCATTCCCCCCCTTTTGCCCAACCAGCCCTCCCTCCCTCTGGCCATCACCACTCTGTTTTTCTTTTTTCTAATCCTCACCTAAGGATATGTTTTTCATTGATTCTAGAGAGAGAGGAAGGGAGAGGGAAAGAAAGAAACATCAGTCTGTTGCATTTCATACACACCCCCACCATGGATCAAACCCACAACCCATCTATGTGCCCTGACCAAGAATCAAACCCACAGCCCTTTGGTGCTCAGGACGATGCTCTAACCAACTGATCCACACCTTTCAGGATCACACTGTTGTCTTTTTAATGCAATGTTTCAATTATATTCACATTTCTTCCTGTTTTTCCCCAGATTAAGAGAGAAGAGTGACTATTTTTGTTTCCCTCAATATAATTCCCCTCCCTGGGCAAGCTTATAACATAGGCAGTAGTAATTCTGAACCTTTAAAAGACTTAGTTAAGAACTTTTGAAAATTAAAAATGTTAAATCTATGTAAATACCTTATCAGTTATAACCATCAAGCATGTTGAGGCTTCTTTCGAATAACACCCCCACCTGTCACCCAATAGTACAATAAAAGGATGGATTTACCCCTCTTACCAACTGTGAGCAAAATCCTTTCCTGTACCTCTAACTATAATATATCAGCGGAAAGAGAGAACTTATCTATGTAGTACATTATTATTAAGGTTTCTCTTTAGTCAGTAATTTTTCTATACTTTTATTTCTTTTATTTTAGAAATTGAAAAGCCCTATTTCTAAGAAGTCTACTGACCTAAAGAGTTTTTAGGAGACTCTAGGGAAGAATGTGGTGATACTGACATTTTCTTAGGAAGTATAATTCTATTAAATGTTATCTGGAAGGAAGATAGTGGAGTTGTAAAAGAAATAGCAAAATGGAGGTACATATGCACATATACACGTATGTATGGCTGGATGGATGTAAATAAAATTCTGAATTGTAAGGTCAAGCTTTTCTACTGGTAGACATTGAGTCAAGCCTACTATACCATAGCCATAAAATAACCAACCTGTGTAGATTATCCTTGACAGGCTTCAGAGTTGGGTAAGAAGAATCATCTTTAGGGGAGAAGAGAATCTGTTTTTTTTGTTTTGGCATCCCAATTATCTGATTTCAGAGAGAGGGAGGGAGGGAGGGAAGGAGGAAGGAGAGAGAGAGAGAGACAGACATGGATGTGAGAGAGAAAGATTGATTGGTTGCCTCCCACTTGGTGCCCTGACCGGGTCCTGAACCTGCCACCTTTTGGTGTACATGATGACCCTCCAACCAACTGAACCACACATAGGCTAGGGCTATCTTTAATTCTTATGTTACCAAAGATTAGGCCAGCTTAATAATATGCCTGGTTTTATTTTAGAGCAGGATTTTTCAACCTTGGCACTGTTTACATTTTGGACTGGATAATTCTTTGTTTTAGATGGAGGGAAGGCTATTAGGATGTTTATGTGACCATCAAAAGTGTCTTCAACCCTGGTTGGTATGGCTCAGTGGGTTGAGTGTCATCCCATGCACTGAAGGGTCACTGGCTCAATTCCCAGTTAGGGCACGTGCCCCATTTGTGGACTCAATCCCCTATCAGGGTGCATGAAGGAGGCACTGATTGATGTTTCTCTATGTCCCTCCCCCTCTTCCTCTCCCTTCCTCTCTCTCTCTCTGGAATCAATAAAAAATATTTTTAAAGAATGTTTTAAGACACTGCTATATGTTCCCTAAGGGGCCATATTGCCCCCAATTGAGAACCCCTGGTTTAAAACTGAGAATTTGATTGAAAATTTGATTAGTGAAGTGATTCTCTGGTGACATGGTGTCAGAGTACCAAAAATTGGCTGGTTCTGTGGGCTGACTGGCATTACTCTTTTGTCCAGTTGTTAACATGTGTCCCAGAGAAGGCTATGGACAAATGTATCATTATAGGATGGTTTTTCCCAAAACATGTTTCTTGAAGGTAATAGCCCTGCTAAATGTTCCTATCCTGACCCTATACCAACTCTCCACAAAAAAGTCCATGGTTAAATAAGCTGGAAAATGCTACCTACTTTATCCCCTTTTTGGAACTGAGAATCTTGTTTAATTTTCTGTAACCCGGAGTTTTTCAAATTTCATCATAGAACCCTTCTCCTACACAATATACATTTCAACATATTATCTATTAATATCCATACTTTGAGAAAAGCAGTTTAAGGCTATGATAAAGTGATCACAATGTCAATGTGCAGCCAAGGTTAAGAACCACTGCTCTAAAATGAAATACTGTGTTTTCTTTTTTCTTCCTTTTTTTTTTTTTTTTTCGAGAGAGAGAAACATTGATCGGTTACCTCCCCTACACACCTCAACAAGGAATCAAACCTGCAACCTTTTGGTGTTGCTCCAACCAACTGAGCTACACTGTCCAGGAAAATACTGTGTTTTCTCATTGTTGTTATTTTTTAATATATTTTTATTGATTTCAGAGAGGAAGGAAGAGGGAGAGAGAGAAAAACATCAATGATGAGAGAGAATCATTGATTAACTGCCTCCTGCACATCCCACACTGGGGGTCAAGCCCACAACCTAGGCATGTGCCCCAACTGGGAATCAAACCACAACCTCCTGGTCCATAGGTTGATGCTCAACCACTGAGCCATGCCAGCCAGGCCTAATTGTTGTGATTTTTAGTGAATAAAGTAATGTGTACTTGAATAATACTTTTAAAATGAGATCTACATATTTTAAACATTTTTAATAGAGTTAATGAATTGATTTAATGAGTTTTCTTGATGTGGTAGAATGAAGCTTTCTAAAATTTTGTCACATTTTTAGGATGACAGGTATTTTCTGAGTGGTTCATTGGATGGAAAGCTCCGCCTTTGGAACATACCTGACAAAAAAGTGGCTTTGTGGAATGAAGTAGATGGTCAAACAAAATTGATCACAGCTGCAAATTTCTGTCAGAATGGCAAATATGCAGTGATTGGGACATATGATGGCAGGTGCATTTTCTATGATACAGAGGTAAATGACTATCTTGTATAAATTATGTAATTGAATAATTAGTAAAACACTTTTGTGGTTTTGAATAAGTTGTTGTATCCCCGCTGTACTTTAACTGCCTTATCTGTAAACTAGAGGCCTAGTACACAACATTTGTGCATTGGGGGTGGGGGTGAGGGGAGTCTTTCAGCCGAGCCCTTGCCCTCTCACAGTCTGGGACTTCTCCCTGGGCCTAAGCCAGCAGGCAGACATCCCCCCAGGGGTCCTTAGCGCTGCCATGGAGGCAGGAGAGGCTCCTGCCACCACCACTGTGCTCGCCAGCTGTGAGCCTGGCTTCTGGCTAAGCGACGCTCCCCCTGTGGGAGCACGCTGACCACCAGGGGGCAGCTCCTGCGTTGACCATCAGCCCCCTAGTGGTCAGTGTGCATCATAGTGACCGCTCAATTTGCATATTAGGGTTTTATTATATAGGATTGGGGCACATATTACCATGTCTGTGAGTTTTCAGATGACCTTTGAGGTTCCTTCTATTTCTGATCTTTTAAATATGTGATTTCTTTTTAGCATTTGAAATACCACACACAAATACATGTACGATCTACCAGAGGACGCAACAAGGTTGGAAGAAAAATTACCGGCATTGAGCCTTTACCAGGAGAAAATAAGGTACTAAGTATTCAAAACCATCTCTCTCCATACTATGTATAGGTTCCTGAAAGTTAGTTCTTAATATCTTGGCTAAGAATATATTCCCTTTCTTGTGGGATACTGCTTTTTCTAGTTGTGTATGTGTATACACCCTTTTTATAAATTATAGCTTAACTTAGATTAAAAGATTATATATTTAACTTTTCCCTTGATTTATTTTTAGATACTGGTAACCTCAAATGACTCCAGAATCAGACTATATGATCTTAGAGATTTGTCACTTTCCATGAAGTATAAGGGTTATGTCAACAGCAGCAGCCAGATCAAAGCAAGTTTCAGGTAAATTGGCAATGAGAAATTCCCAAAAGAGATCAGAATATTTCTCCCGCATTCCCGTTTTCCATTGATCTACTAGGCCTTATGTCTATATTATGTCTTTAGTTTCTTTGCACTTTTACAACTGGTATCTCATGCTATCCTCATACAATACTTACAGTCCACCTGCATGGTATTTAGAGTTAGAATTGCCCCTAATCTGCAGATGAAGAAACCAAAACCCAGTAAATTAAGTAATTTGCCTAAAGTTGGCACTAGTCGGTGCAGAGCCAGAATTAGAAGACTCCCAGCTCTAGAATTTGTGCTTTTGTACTTTTATGTGAAGGTTTTTTTAGAGTAGTTTACCACCCACCCCACTCATGATCTTGATCCTTTTAGGTACAGAAGCTAATAAAGCTTTTAACAGCCTGAAATACAGTGTTCTATATTTACACCTTTACATATCATTATCATTTGAACTCTTCGGGCTCTGAAGGCTCTCTTGAATTACCTGCCTCTTTTTAACCCTCTTTCCTTTATTCCTTTTCTTAGAAGTTCTTATTTCTTCTGTAATTACCAGGTACAGTAGTCTCCCCCTTTATCCGTGGTTTTGCTTTCCGCAGTTTCAGGTACCCATGGTGAACCATGATCCAAAAATATTAAAAGAAAAGTTACAGAAATAAACAATAAGTTTTAAATAGTGACTCATTCAGGGTAACACGATAAAATGTGTGCCTTCCCACCAAAAACATGAATCATTTCTTTGCTCAGTATATCCATGCTGTGTATACACAACATTTCAAGAGAGAGAGATCACATTCACATAACTTATTACAGTACGTTGTTATAATTGTTCTGTTTTACTATTGTTTATCTTTTACTATGCCTAATTTATAAACTAAACTTTATCATAGGTATCTGTAGTCATGCACTGCTTAACAATAGGGATACATTCTAAGAAATGCGTTGTTAGGCAATTTGCTTATGGAACATCGTTGAGTTCACTTACGGAAACCTAGATGATATAGCCACTACACAACTAGACCATATGGTATAACCTATTGCCCCTGGGTCACAAACCTATACAGCATGTTACTATACTGGACTGTAAGCAATTATAACACAGTGGTAAGTATTTGTATATCTAAACATAGAAATGGTACAGTAAAAATATGGTGTAAAAGATTAAAAAATGCTATACCTGTATAGGCACTTACCATGACTGGAGCTTGCAGGACTGAAAGTTGCTCTGGGTAAGTCAGTGAGTGAGTGGTAAGTGAATGTGAAGGCCTAGGACATTACTGTAGACTTTACAAACACTGCACACTTAGGCTACACTAAATTTATAAAACTTGATATTAAATCAAGCCCACAAGAAAATGATGCAATCAAGAAACTCCATAAACTCAAGATATAAGAAGCTGCTACCAGTGTAAAATGGCATACTGTTTCACAGCAAACTTTTTATTTTAAGTAGAAAGAGTTACACTCTAAAATTATAATGTATAGTATAGTAAATAATAACTCAGTGACGTTTATCATCACTATCAAGTATTAGGAACTGTACATAGTTGTATGTGCTATACTTTTATATGTCTGGCAGGACAGTTGGTTTCTTTATACTAACATCACAAACACGTGAGAAATGTATTGCATGAAGGCACTGCAATAGCTATAATGTCACTAGGTGATAGGAAATCTTCCACTCCATTATAATCTAAGGGGCCACCATGGTATATGAGCCCCATCATTGACCAAAGCATTGTTATTTGGTGCATGACCATATGTATAGGAAAAACATAGGATATATAGGGTTTGGTACTATGTGTGGTTTCAGGCAACCACAGACGGTCTTGGAATATATCCTCTGTGGAAAAGGGGGACTATTGTAATTATCCAGTAAGTTAATTGGTAAAATACTCTGGTTCTCTCTTTCATCTCTTGAGGCTTTCCTGCTAGCATGGTAATCTAGAGCTTTGATGAAAATACTAATGCTTCTGGCCCCCATATCAAACCTACACTGTCATCACCTCTAGAGTGAGAATAGGAGTCTATAGTTCAACAAAATTCTTCTGGGTGTTTTCTTATGTGTTTTAAAGTAGGAAGTTCTGATAGAGGGGAAACCTAAAAAAATTACTGAGGTGTTTGTTTTTCTTCTCCAAATTTTAGCCATGATTTTAGTTACCTCGTTAGTGGCTCAGAAGATAAATATGTTTATATCTGGAGTACTTACCATGACCTAAGCAAGTTTACTTCAGTCAGGAGAGATCGTAACGACTTTTGGGAAGGTATTAAAGGTAAGTAAATGCCTACTCATATGTGTCTTTTATAAGTGAATAAAGTTAAAATGAATAAATTTAAAGTGCAATGTACTAGAAGCAAATTTGTATAGACATTATTTCAAAGGGGCTGATATATGTGCTTTTGCTTTGTGTTTGGCTTTGTTGGATATTTCCATGCCAAGGAAGAACTTATACTTGTGTAAAATTTGAGAAGTCATGGGATCTCAAAACTTGTATATGGTATTTTCTTTTAGAAAATATATTTGGGTTTTAAATAGTTCGTAGTTACTTATATGTTAGTTTTAAAAGATATTTGGATGTAACATACACTATTGTATTTTTGCATATTTTACTCTCTGTCTTGATGTTTAGAATTGGATTTATTAGTTATCCTGAAGTAAATTTTTCTCCCCAGCACATAATGCAGTTGTTACATCAGCCATCTTTGCCCCTAACCCAAGCTTGATGTTGTCTTTGGATGTGCAATCTGAAAAGTCAGAAAGTGAAGATGCTGAAGTTTTAGATACCATACCCTCTGGTAGGTACTCATATTGTATTTGTTCTACTTTTTATCTAGTCAGCATTTTGTAACCTAATTGACCTAATATTGGGTATTGTGAGGTTTTCATAACTGTGAAGAATATTTTTGTTTACAACATGATTGTAAGATACCGATTTCTGAACATTTCAGTAACATAGTTTTTGCAAGTTTTACTTTTTAAATTCACTTGGGAATTAAAAATGAAAAATTTGAAAGTTCTTAATTTCTTCTATGGGCAGCTATTTTCCTTGGAGAAATGTAAACAAAAACATACAAATACAAATTTTATTATGTTTTCTTCTACTAGACTAATTTCTGTGAGGACAGAGAGTTTATATATCTTATTTGTTGTAGTGCCAGTGCCTAACACAGTGCTTGCCTGTATATAGTAGCTGCTTAATAAACATTTGCTGAATAAATGAATTAAACCAAAATGAAAGCAGTGTTTTTTTCTACTTGCCACAAATTTATAGTTTCTCTTAGGTAGCTATTTACAAGCCTGTAATTTCTCGCCATTTGTAGCATATGCTTTCAGAACAAGTACTAATTCTAGCTCTCTAAAATGCTCAGATTAGGAAGTGAAAAGAAGCCACCATGTAATACTGAGTGCCAATTATGTAAAAAATGGTCCTTAAGAGTATAAAACCATGTAAATTTGGACCAGTTGTTAATGAAAACAAGTTTGTATGATTAAAATCACTTGCAGAAGAGTTCAGTAAATGTGTTTTCTCACTTTAGAGACTACAACCAGGCCTTTTAGAAAGTTGTAAAGCCACAGCAATACAGTGTACAAAAGGTGCTTCTAAAAGTATTGGAATGCTTAAAAGTTATTTCCCCTATGGTGTTATTTGCCCTGCACACTATACTAAATATACTATTTTTTCTGTCTGTTAAGAAAAATTTTGATAGCAAAGCTGAACTTCAGTCTAGCACTTTTAAATTACAGGATCTAAAAATAAAATGACAGAATTATTAAACCTTTACTAAGTGCCTGTTTGGAAATATTTCTTTTCATTTTATTTTTTTCTAAATCTAACTTAAGTCATTTGGTTTTTTTTCTCTTTTCTTTTCCCCCAGTTATCTTTTAACAATCTATACATGTCCCCTACACATTTCCCAGAAAATTCTAGCTTTTAAAACAATTTGAAGAAAAATGAAAAGTACTATTCTTTGAACTTCTTTGTAGAGACACAACTTTTAATGGTCGTGGTTAGATTTGTGTTTGGTTTTTTACCTATAAATGTATATTCTAAGAATAAATTCTTAAACCCAGGATATGATATGATAAATTATATCTGATTGCTTTCTCTTTATTCCCGATATATTTGGCAATGTAAGCTTCAATTTTCCTCATATGTAAGTAAAATGGTGAAAATACCCAGTTTACAAAGTTGTGATAAGAGTTGAAAATAACATATATAAAGTGCCTACCAAAAGCCTGGCATGTAGTCAACATTACCATTATCATCTTCATTATTATCGTATATGATGAATTATTTTTTCTCTAGCCTTTCTCATATCCCTAAGTCCTTTGCTGCTGCTCCTGCTGCATAACACTACTTTGAGATATGCCTCGAGGATAGGAAGGAATGTTCAAAGGCTTAGGATATGTTCTTAGCAAATCTAAGTGAAACCATTTTGTATAACTCATCCTGTACACAGCTTTCCAGTTAAAGTTTGTATTATTTTCTTCCTTACTATTCAGTCCTTAAATCCACAAGTGTTGTCTATGCATAATAGAATTAGTTTACACTGAATTTTGTTAAATATAACGGGTAATACAAGAGATAAGCATTTTTCCCATTCACCATCACTAGTCACATAGCTCTTCAGTATGGACTGTAAAGGGAAAAGGCACTATCAGCATTCACAAATCGATCATATGTACTTCATTTCATGGCAATGTGTTCTGCTGTGTAATAAACCTTACCATCAGCCTCATTAGAGAACCCTGTTAGCAACAGACTTGCCCAGCCAGCACTCTAGTCTCCTGCCACGAAATGACACATTAGACAACTTAGAGACCTAGACTACCTGGGAGTAAATACATGCCTCCAGGTCCCAAGGGACTGTAATGTACAAGTCAGGGAAAGACCAGGTAAGTGGAAGTGAACCTCAGAGAGGAGAGGCACAAGAGGAAGAAAGGATTACAGGATTGAGCCAGGAGAGAGAGAGAGAGAAGAGGCAGAGAGAGGATCTTCTACCCCAAAGGTCATGGGCATGTGACAATTGTTAACAGCAGACTTAATAATCCTTTTAAATCAACTAATATTTTTTTATGTTTTTAAGGTATTATGAAGACAGATAATACAGAAGTTCTTCTCTCTGCTGACTTCACTGGAGCAATCAAAGTATTTATTAACAAAAGGAAAAATGTATCTTAATTTGAAATGCCATTTAAATAAATACATCAGTAACTTTATGTATCAGAATTGAAAAAAATTATAGTGTTTTAGGCTAACATCCTTTTTTTAATTTTTGTGGGAAGATATTCAAATATAATATATTTTTTGAGAGGCAGTGTTAATGATCTAGTAAACCCTGGACTGATAAACTAGAAAGGAATGTGGCTAGAATAACATTGCCAAATATTAGGCTTTACATTTGTTATATTTGTGTTTTTGTTATATAATTGTGAACATGCACAGGTTTTTGCATGAAAATATATTAATATATTAATCCCATGTGTGTGCCTTTTGGTTACATGCACTAAATCTTAACAAAGTTAAATTATTTCAATGGCTCTTTTGGCCTCTTACTGGGGAAGGAGTCTTGTTTCTAGCTTAAACAATTTCTTTTGCACAAAATTTCATTTTTAAGAAAAGTGGTATCTTTTGACTGAGTTATTGTTTTAAAAATGTTATATAGGTTTTCAGTAGGTCAACAACCATGTGTAAATGGTTTTTATAAATTTCTCAATTTGGAGACAAGATTTTGTTTGTGGTCTAAATTGTGGACTTAATGATTCTTTTCTTTGTATGTATATATATATAATTTTTTTGCCACACTGGAGCACAATGTTTCTATGTAAAGATTTTTTTTCATTCTTTATCCATGAGCACCAGGCTTTGCTCACTTAAAAAAAAATTAAGCCGCATTAAGGAGTGAGTCTTCTTTTTTACAATAATGTAAAATTGAACTGTTTACATTTTTTTAAAACATTGTAGTTTTAAAAACTAAGCTGTTTTGTTTTGTGTTATTGAACTTGAAAGCCTTTGTAAATATTGATATAATGTACCAATGAAATAACATCTGGGGCAATGGTACCCTGATCATGTCATTGATGATTAGCATATGTTTCTGAAAATTAAATAGTTTATTAAAAGTTGGTCACCAACACCTGCTAAAAATGTGACTTTATTTTCAGATGACATTGATAATTTGAGAAATGCAAGACAAAGTCTTGTTTTATAATTTGATTTTTAGCAAGCAGGCGGCCAGATTTTAAACCCCTAAATTACAGTGCATTAGCTACATACCTCTGAGAAAAAAAGAAAATTTAATTCTGGTTCTAAAATGAACATTGCTGAGTTTATCTGTATGCTTAAATGTTTTTACTACATTTGTTTTCAATATGTAAGCAAGAAGCTGGAGAGCCATGATCATATCCTTGTTAATCAGCATGATCTTGGAGTGGTCTGGATTTTCTAGTTACTAATTGAATATTGTTTGCCTAGGTGTTACCCCTGTGCTGATTTCTTCCTCTTATCAATGCTGTACTCTCTTTCCCCCTCCTCTCTGCTCTCCTTACTCCCCTGTTCTCATCTCTGTCTGCTCACTCTTCTGTATTTTACCCAACAGATAGAGTAGTAATGCCATTGGCTTTCTGACTAGTCTTTTCCTTTTTTTTTTTCTTTTTTTTGGTCTCATGGTCTGGAATCGTCTAGGCCAGCGGTTCTCAACCTGTGGGATGCGACCCTTTTGGGGGTCGAACGAACCCTTTCACAGGGTTCACCTATGACCATCGGAAAACACATATATAATTACATACTGTTTTTGTGATTAATCACTATGCTCTAATTAAGTTCAATTTGTAACAATGAAATTGGGGGTCACCACAACATGAGGAACTGTATTAAAGGGTCGCGGCATTAGGACGGTTGAGAACCACTGGTCTGGAGTTTCAAAGAACTTGATGTCCATAGGTCTTTGAGGCAGCTCAGCTTTCACTGACTTCTTCCTGAGGAGGACTTGTAGTCTGCTGTGGTGCTGGTCATTTCAACTGCAGATAACTGGGGTGTTGCCAGATGACTATTTCCAGATGGTTTTATGTGGTTTCTTGAACAAAAAGGCAAAAAATAATTGGGATGCCAGCTTAAGAGAATAATACTGACACTTTTAAGTTGAGTCTTAAAGTGTTTGTCATCACTATATAAATACACTACAAAGTTACAAGTCAGAAAGTGAAGTTGAAAGGTAGCGTCAAGATGTATACAAAGAAAAACTGAACAATATTCTTCCCAAAAATGAATATTAGAGACTCACTGTAATAAATGATGTGGTATTCTCGAAAGGAGTGCAGATTCTAGAATCAGATAAACTTAATTTGGTTCCCTCTATTAGCATATTCCTTGGGCAAGCTATTTATCCTACATTAATTTCCATTTCCTTAACTGTAATATGAGAATACCTAACTGAAATTGTAAAGATTTACTGAGAAATTGTGTATGTATAAAGTTTAGTGCCTACACAAAGGCTGTAGTACTCAACAAACATACATTTTTAACTGCCTCTTCTGAATCCCTGAGTCCCCTACTAGATGGTGTGTGTGTGTGTGTGTGTGAGTGTGTGTCTGTGTGTGTCTGTGTGTGTAAGCACTTTCTAGATATTGGGATTTCATGAACAAATAGCATTTTAGGGATTGACGCAGGGCACTGAATTTTTTGCCAGCTCAACACTTTTTAAACTGCCACCATCTACTTTCACTTCTTCAAAAAAGAGAGAACATTTTAGTACTAAAAAAAAGTCAAGTACAATCTTACCATCTTAGAGCAAGAAAATCATGTATTAAAGTGAATAAACCTAGCTTTTAAAAAAAAATAACCATATTACCTTATTTTCCAATTTCTCCTTTGGTTAAAATGTTATCGTTGACTTGGTGTAAAAAGCTGAGAACCACTGTGCTAGATGAAAAAGTTTAAAACCAATTTTCATTAAAATTTCTTTGAAGAATCATGGTGTGTTTTTTTTCTTGTCTTATTTACCTCAATTGGAAATGAAATATGAATGATTCGGCATAATTTAGCATACCATTTCCTCTGGTCCTCAAATTGTACAGCTGGGCAGTGACTTTTTTATTCTTTGAAATATATGTTAAAAATTAATATATCCACCCCCAAAATTCCATTTTTGAGAGAGGCCAGTTCTCTCCCACTGATGTGAAAAAATCAAATTATCAGAATATTTTTAAGTACCTTCATTATTGTGAGGATTCAAGTTAAAGACATTTTGGGGATTTACTATTTCCCCATAAGTTTTCAAAGGAAAAACATTTCCAACTTCACTGATTTCTAGCATCCTGCCTTATTTATTAAGCAGATGTTTATTGAACACCTACTATGTACAGAGCACTGCTGGGACTAGAGAAGAATAAGGCCACATCCCTATCCCAGAAGCAGCTTACAGTCTGGTGGAGAAGATGGCCACAGAAATAAGAGGCTTGGAACTGTCTTGTGGCTATGGCCTTTAGACATGCCCCTTCTTGCCCTAACCCCTATCTGCTCTACCCTAACTCATGGCAGCCACTTGATTCTAAAGCCAATCTTTGTTCATCTAATACTGCAAGTAGCAAGGGTAATATGGGTAAGTTTATGAGTAAGCCATAAGTAAGGCAGAGAAAATGGAGCACCCACCCTGTCAACATTTCCCCTTGTCTCCTGCCCTCCTCCCAGCCTAAAACCATTGTCTTATTTCCTCCAAAATCCTTACTGTCTTCTGTTTTGAGCTCTTGTTTAACAGACTCTTTCTCCCCAACTGCACTCTGTTCCCTTCATTTCTGAAGCTTGAAAAATTTTATTTTGTCCTCTAAATTTAAGTAATCTAGTCTCCTGGGGAACCCAGACAATTCCTGTTAACCACAGCCACTGTTCTGGTGTAGATTCATGCACATGAAATACATTCAGATTAATACAACAGGTTGGGGGGTGGATTAAGATGAGGGGAGAGAGCCACTGCAGAATCCCAAACAAATCAAATGCCATCATGTAGGTTATCTAGGGTGGTCCAAGCAGCTTGTACATCCAGCTACCTTCCATTACATGTTTAAAAATAAACCTGGAGAGCATTATGCTAAGTGAAATAAGCCAGTCAAAGAAAGACAAGTATCACATGATCTCACTTTTGTGGAATCTAAAGAACAAAATAAACTGATGAACAAAATAGATCCAGAGACATTGAAACATGGAACAGACTGAGGAATCTCAGAGGAAAGGCTGGGGTGGGTGGTGGGGGCGGGATATAGGGGTCAATGGAGGAAAGGGAGGCCTTTGTAATACTTTCAACAATGAAGATAAATTTCTTAATTTTGAAATAACTAGATCTACAGAAAAATTGTGAAGACAATACAGAATTACCACACACTCCTTTCCCAGTTTTCACTGATGTTAATATCTTACATTACCATGGTACATCCGTCAAACTAAGAAACCAACACTAGTACATTACTATTAAGTAAACTCCAAACTTTATTCAGATTGCACCAGTTTTTCCACTAGTGTCCTTTTTCAGTTCTAAGATGCAATCCAGGATCCCATACTGCATGTAAGCACATTATGCTTTCTTTTTTAAAATGTATTTTTATTGTTGAAAGTATTACAGATTATGCTTTCTTAATTTAAATAAGTTCTTTATTTTAGAATCATTTTAGATTTTCACAAAGTTTTCAAAGTGTTCACATCACCAGCACCACTTCCCCCTATTGTGGTACCTTTAACATTAATGTGGTACCTTTTTCACATCAAGAAACTAACATTGGTACATTACTATTACCTAATGCCGTACTTTATTCAGATTTCACTAGTTTGTACTTAATGTCTTTTCTGTTCTGGGATCCCATCCAGGATATGACATTACATGCGCTCATCATGTCTCCTCTCAGCTATGACGGTTTCTTGGATTTTCCATGCTTTTGATTGCTGGGGTCCAACCCCAGCAGGTCCAGGGGTTCCCAAAGGTGTGGACGGAGTCGGCGAAGAAGGAATGACACGGAGACAGCGTTCAGTTGATCAGCAGCCTAGGCAGGATCTCTAGCCAAGTTCTAGTCAGGATCTCCAGCGAAGTTCTGGTTAGGATCTCCAGCCAGGTTCTGTGGCCAGGTTCTGTAGCCGGGTTCTCTTGCTAGGTTCTCCAGCCAGGTTCAGTCACCAGGTTCTAGTCAGGTTCTCTTGCCAATTTCTAGTCAGGTTCAGTCCAGGATCTTTTGCCATGTTCTCTAGAGCGAAGTTCTTCTGTCTCTAAGTTCTGTCTCTAAGTTCTGACTTCTAAGTTCTATGTTCTAAGTTCTGTCTCCTAAGTTCTGTCTTCTGAGTTCTGTGTGTAGGTTCTAAGTTCTGTCTGTAAGTTCTGTCTCCTAAGTTCTGTGTGTAGGTTCTGACTCTCGACTCTCTCTGCCTTGTTACACCTGTATTTATA